GGGTCATAACTCCGAAATCTTAAGATCTACTAAAAATCTAATACCGGCATTCAATTCTACGCCAAAGAATTAGTCTTGGGCAGTTTTCACTTTAACTCTAACTTATTTAACAGCTGAGATACAGACATGTTTAAAAATGTTACAATAACGAGAAACGCCCTGTAATTCTGAAACAAATGAAGATAGCAAATTTCTGATTTGACAGTCGAGTTTGCAATGAAAATTGAGCTCGAGAACGTCGTGTCAGATTTATCATACCGTTAGTAGTTTCTGAAATACTCTGATTTCCCATCGAAAATGGACCAGCCTGTACACCATTACAATAACTGCCAAATATGTAATATTTTTATAAGAATAATGTAAAACAAGTTAGATATAATCTAAATTATTTGGTTTGTTAGCTCTTTATGACTAACAGGAAACCTAGCTAGTTATTCAATACTTCCTCTTTATTTAAGTATTCAATCTACTTAAGTCAGTAATTTTTAACATTAAGTAGGTAATTATAACTGCGTATGACGTGTAATATGAAAATGTACGTCGTAATTTGAAAATTATTTAGATTAATAGCAGACCATGGAAAATTAAAATTAGTATAGAAGTTAACTAATTTAAAATTATATGGTTAATGTGAATAGTTACTAGGGCAAAAACTATCTGTAAATGTATGTAATTTCCAATTTTTTAAACTTCCCGCTCAAATACCTTACACATTTTTTCGTTCCGTCACTAAATGTTAAATAAACAACCTCATTTAGAAAAATTATATAACAGAAAGTACTGTTATACATTAGAAAGTAATGCAAATTTTCAAAAATCATTATTGCCCAATTTTTGAAAACAAAAAATTAGAGGTAATAGCTAAATACTATAAAATGGTACTTACTATCTTTTATTTTTCAAAATCTGCCTTACTGATAGAGATTTCATTTGTTTATGGAACGATATTTATTTTTTTATTTTTACTTAATTTAGTAGAGATTTTTTTTCTAAATGTACTTATTTATAATTAGGTACTTGATTAATGATTCTAGTTAAATATTTACGAGAAAATATTTGCAATACTGGTAAACATCAATTTAAGCTCTGCGAAAAAATTATCAAATATATCATGAAAACAATCAAATCAACAGAGGTCAATCACATTTAAGGTATAAGAATCACATTGCACTCTATGTGCTAATTATACGTTTCTGCTTTTAAGCTTCTACATTAAATTTATGAAACCATTATGCGTTGTCCCACGCATTACTACCAAAAAAGTCCATCGCAATGAATAAAATAATTTTTTTTGTTGAATTTGTAGTGTCTATTCTAAATTTAATGTATAAGCTTAAAGATAGAAAGACATTGTGACGCGTCATACCTTATTTTCTTTGATTGTTTTATACATTTGACAAATTTGTTGGAGGGCTCAAATTAATATTTAAGTACAGGTTTTTGTGTATTTTTCTCCGTAAATATTCCGCGAAATAAAGATATCATGTATTACTGGAATCGGAGAAAGATTCTACCAGATTAAGTTAAAATATTGTTCGATTAAAAACAAATCGGCAATAGCCTGCGTTTCCTGACTTTGAACAGAAAAGTATAGTACCAAATGTCGGTTTGTAATATTTTTAGAGCCAGTAGGTAATGCCAATCTTCTGTTTACTAAAATCAAAGCAAAAATGGCGAAATTATAAGTAAGAATTTTTAAAAACGGTACACGCAAAAATTTAGTAGTATTAAAATCCTGACTGATCGCATTAGGAAAGGGAATGGTCATAATAATAGTACAAGAATTTATATAATTAAAATTGAAAATATAAACAAAAAAATATACAGGGTGTTTTCACTTTAAATTTGGAAAATGCAGGAATGTATTCCCTATCAAAAAGTAAGTGTAGTTTGCTCTATAAAATTTTTTTATAAAAGCCTTTGTTTTGGAGATACAGGGCGTTGAAGCTTAAAAAAAAACACTTTTTGACATATCTCGGCTATCCACGAGTGGATTTAATTTAATCTTGGTATACATTATGCGTATTGGGGGTTCTCATAATTGACAGAATATTAGTCCTATCGCATTAGCCAGTGGCGTTCAAAGGGGGGATGCGTGGCCCCTTTTTCAAAAAAAAAATACGCCATTGAGTTTTTCGAAGAATGTAAAGTAAATTTAAATACTACCATACAAAATCAATCTAAAAGGTCTCTTGGTATTTTTCGATAATACGCAACGTTCATGAGATTCTTGGACTATTAAGATTTCAATGCATGAAAAAAAAAAATTACAACATTGAGTAGAGGAAAGTAATGAAAATATTTATAAGTTCTTGGCTTGCTGCGATACAAAAAAGTTGCTATAAATTTTAATACAGCATTTGAATTCAAAAAAAAATATCTCTTTTTCTCATTCAACACTACCGTGCCATGTTATCATGCATTGGAATCTTAATAGTCCAAGAAATCTCATGAACATTGCGTATTATCGAAAAATACCAAGAGACCTTTTAGATTGCTTTTGTATGGTAGTATTTAAATTTACTTTACATTCTTCGAAAAACTCAATGTCGTAATTTTTTTTTTTCATGCATTGAAACCTTAATAGTCCAAGAATCTCATGAACGCTGCGTATTATCAAAAAATACCAAGAGACCATTTAGATTGCTTTTGTATGGTAGTATTTAAATTCACTTTACATTCTTCGAAAAACTCAATGGCGTACTTTTTTTTTGAAGAAAGGGCCACGCAACCCCCCTTTACACGCCACTGGCTAATGCGATCGGACTAATATTCTGTTTATTATGAGAACCCCCAATACGCATAATGTGTACCAAGTTTAAATCAAATCTACTCGTGGATAGCCGAGATATGTCAAAAAGTGTTTATTTTTTTTTAAGCTTCAACGCTCTGTATCTCCAAAACAAAAGCTTTCATAAAAAAATTTTATAGAGCAAACTACACTTACTTTTTGATAGGGAATACATTCCTGCATTTTCCAAATTTAAAGTGAAAACACCCTGTATATCAATACTGGAACCGAGTTAATTGAAATTATGAAGTGTTACAAAAAGGAGACTGAAAATAGTAAGAGATTAAAATTAATGTTAATTGGGATAGTATGTTTTAAAAACAAAAATAGATGTATAATAACAATAAGTATATAAAAATAATTTAATAAGTATTTTCTATTTAAAAATCGATATTCCCACGCTGCTGCTGTCAATGCAATGTTAAAATCAAACCAACACGCCAAAAATGTATGTGGGCAGAAAGTAACAGTTTGCTAAATTTAGATTTTTTACAACTGTATTCACCATTGTTGTTATCAATAAAAACTCGTATTCTTTGGTGAATTTTAAAGGGAGTCTTTCATATAAAGTTTTTATCTAGGACGTTTCGTTAAAAAGATACAGTGTTAAATTTCAAGAAATATTTTTAATTTTTTTAAATAAATTAAAAACGAGTAAGTGAAATAATTTGAAATTGAGCACATGTATTTATGTAAACATTGTCCAAAATCTGAGGACTTTTCATAAGTTCATTTACATGTTCCGATGGCGAAGATACAGGATATCGGTGGCTTATTTTTCTAAACAAAATAGTATGCCACTCCTTTACGGTAACAACCGTAATATTTTCAAATTCGTCTTTCAATTTTCTACAAATTACTACTCTTATGTTTTTCGAAAGAAACCTAATTTCGAGTACCTAAAACTTAAAAAACGAAGTGAAAACATACTTCGATATTCGAATAAAATGCGGTTTAAAATTACATAGTAGGCTGCGATAGCAACATTGACATTTCGAGCAGTTGGAAGAAAGAATAAATAATGCTTTTCATAAGATTCAAGCAACAATAATTTCGAAAAAATCATGTTTTTGTTACTAAAAAGATGTCGCGTCTGTTTTCGTGGAAATGGAGGTATTTTTGAGCATTTACTCAAATAAAATCATTAAAATGATGATTATAGTGTTATTAATTTCTTCATTCGAATAAATAACCGAATGATTAGTCATGTCCTGTTATTTAAGTAAAAGTGTTTTCAGTTGGTTTTTTAAGTTTTACTCGAAAATCAATATTTTTTCGAAAAACATAAAACATAAAGCAGTGGCGTACTATATGTATTATATAGACAAATATGTTACCGATATCCTGTTTCTCCGCCATCGGAGCATGTATATTTTAGGAAAAGTCCTGAGATTTTGGACAGTATTTACATAAATACATGTGCCCAATTTCAAATTATTTCACTTACACTAGTTTTTAAATTATTTAAAAAAGTTAATAAATATTTTTTGAAGTTAACACCCCCAATATTTATATCAACTTCAATATGTAATGTAAGAAAATCTATGAGATACCTCTTGAAAAAACATTGAACAGTTCTTTCAAGTTTTTTCAGGGCTAATAAATTCAAAATAATTACAATTTGTCTCATTTGTAGATACAGTACTAACCTTTCAGTTAGATTAATCATGTTTTATTATCGTTTTTTTTTAAATGAAACTTTATCACTAGTAATAAAAACATTAAAATACATTGTTATGTTAATCGCATGTGTAACTATTGTTTTACAAAATAATGGAGAATAGTTTTTTTAGAAATGATTCATTTTTATCTTTATAACAACAATATATACCTAAATCAACTTCCACATGCATTTAAAATAGTTCAATTTATATATTGATGCGTTGATATGCCTCATACAACTTGCACGCCATCAAGGAAGTTACCTACGCCACTGATAAATACAGTAATTTTCCGTCAATGCTGATGGGATAAGTATATGTTTCCATCATACGCATAACTGTGGATATGAAGATACAATACTGTTTAGATATCTGTTGTAATCATTTTATATCAGTTTATCGCAGTAACAATTTAAATCAAGCAATGTTAAATTTAAATCCATTGAACCCAACCACTTGTTGCTCGGATTGTACACGTGACCGGCGGTGGGGACGACCGCATGTTTCAAGACAAGACATAACACGGCAGCGAAACAACCAACGCTAGTGCGGAGTGAGGGGAGTATTGCGATCGAGTTGGCCTAGCCTGCGCCGTATATCGCGTTCGCGACCGGCAGTTGTTTGTGCTCATCTCTAAAACAAAAACAGGGAACTATGAACTTAATTGAAATGTAAACGATAATAATTAGAATTTATTGTTAGGAAAGTAGTGATTAGTATTTAGTTTTAGTTTTTAGCTCATTATATTAAGTTCGTGCGTTGTCGATCGCGATACACGTGTTTGTGTTGGTACTTGTTTATTTACTGTGTTTAATGTTGAATTGGCAATAACACGTGCATTTCGTTCAAGTGTTGTGTGTTCTGGTTTATTTCCGTTGATATTAAGTTATCGAAAGGTTTTTTTGTTTTGAAAGTGTCAATTTGGATTTCTCATTTTATCTTCGGACCTTGAGGTTTGTTATTTATTATACTACTTAATTAATTAAAAATATTAGGAATTGAGTAGGTAATAATGTAGGTAGATAGGTAGATGGATGTTTTGTAAGACATATATAGGGCCAAGTATTTTTTCTTTCGAGTAGTTAATTAATCGTCAAAGAAAAATACCCTGTTAGTCCAGGAAAGAATGTTCAATAAATACTATCTGGCCTATTTCGAATCACGATAGCCAAGTACTTAACATCCAATCGCCTTGTTGAATTTTTAAAATTATCTAAGTAATTGTAGGGTCTGATTTCAAATCATGATCACGAAATCACAGCAAAAAGATACTCAATACATAAAAAATAGTCCTGTATACCCTCGTGTATACCTATCTAATTGATGTTCAATTCTATTGGATATACTTTACCTAGATACAGAGGTTTCATGTCGATTATGTATGTTTTTAAATTTACCTCAAGCATTCAACATTTATAGGTACAGACATATAATATTTAAGAGGATGGTTTATGTTTATTATATTTTTAGTCTCGTATTTAGTACGAGATTTAGTACTATTAAAAATAATTCATATTTTTTATTTTCTGCTTCACAGCTAGGTTGCCAAATCTTGTTTTCTTAATTTTAAAACAAATCGTTTAAAAATTAAAAATACAAATAAAACAACATTAAAAATACGTTCTATTTGAGATCTACTAAAAATGTATGTAATCCAACGGTTTAGTCATTTAGTCAGCGATTGTTGGATTGTAAAAAAAAAATTGTAGCTAAATAAATGGGAAAGTGTAAAATTCAGGACATTCACCCTGCAACAAGTTTTGGCAGGGTGCAGGCAAAATTTGCTGAAGTACAGTGCATTTATAAATGTCCGAATCCCACGTGACCAGATTTGTTTTGGCGCTCAGTAAATTTGTTTTTCTTATGTTGGTGTTTCAGAAATTATCAAGGAAAAATTACCAACTAAGACCCTAAATGAAATGTCAATTCAGAGGCGTTTGTATTAGTTTTTAACAAATTAATAAAACACTGAAACAATTTTATATGTTATTAATATTATTTTCATTATCTCTGAATTAACGTGGATACAAAAGAGACTATATTATTTAAAGGACAACCTTTCCCAATCAAAAAATACTTTTTCAATATAATATGGGATAAAAATTCAAAATATTTTAGGGGTGTGATTATTTTGTAAAAAAAATTAAAAAAAATTATATTATTTTTTCTATTGACAAGTGATAAAATAAATAAATATTTTAAAAAATATTTTAAAAATGGTTACTTAATAAGGTCAAGACGACATACCAAAATTTGTATGTGTTAAAAAATTGCAACTCTATTTCTGTTTTTTTTTTCGGTCTCTTTTCGCTTTTCAATTTTCTGTTTCCTGTACTTACCCAGAATTATGTGTTCATAATACGTGTTACTTTCTTATAAATTATCTACAGTCCCCATAATTTTTTTTAGGAATTTTTTCTATTTTACTGGTTTTTTTATTTTCCCCCAAGTTTTTCCCCTACTGCAATCCCTGTTTTACAAGTAGCAGTCTCCAACCAAATTTTTTTCTTTATAGCTAATACTACTTCTTTAATAATGTCCTATTGTTTTCCATTTGAAAAATGTGTTATTTTTATCAATTTATATTCTTCGAAGTTAACGTAATTTGTAGGACAATTTACATATATCGTTAATGTTATACAAATGCACTCTGTAAAGTTCGCTATTCATTCTACAAAATAACTTTACACCGTTAGCTAGCTATGTTTGCTAACAATGTGTCCGCTGAGGTTTACGCATAGTGTTGAAAAGTTTGAATTTCATAATAAGATTTTTGGCAACCCCCAACAGCAGAAATCGCCTGTACAGCTTAAACACGAGTTTAAACATCTCCCAAAACCACTCCGACAGCGAAGCACGTGTTCAAGAGTTCATCGCCATAAGCACCCAGATACTTAGTGAAAATCGAAATTTTCACCCATGTTGCGAATTCAACCACCTAAACTATCCACGGAGCCGCAAAATGCTCCAAAAACACTTAGCCGCAGCAGATGGTAGCCAAAGAGACCATACCATCACACATTCACATCAGACACTCAAAAAGCGACTTTAGAATTTTTCCGAAACACCAAGAATGTTATGAAATCTGTGCTGGAACACGAAACTAAGCTCTCTTATATAAAATCGACACGATCTCAAAGACCGCCCAGATACAACGATACTTTTTATAATCCGAATTCGAACATTTAAATCGGCCAGGATTATGTGATCAATATCAACTTTTTAGCTAAACCGAAAAACAATGAAGGTACACGAAAAATGTCAAAACAAATGTGCTAAAAATAAAACCGTGGGAAAACCGCAAGAGTAATTTAGTGTATAGTCTTTCCGATATTGAAGAACCAACAGATTGACAGTATGTACCACGTTCGGTCGCTGACGCAGCAACTCGGCATTGAAATATTTGAAAAACTTGTTCCCATATTTATTTAGCCGTACCCATAGTCTGGTCGAACTAAACGTGGAGGTGGTAGAAATGTATACGCCCAGTTGAAGAATGCGAGCGCGGGCAAAGGAAAACAAACACAGTTGCATTGGGCTACTGGGCAATAAATTTCAACAGCTGACAAGTGGTTGATAAATTGGCCAGCAGTGCAGTGGAGCAATGCGGAATTTGGTGTGATTCAGGTAATTTTAATTTATTATAAGCACCTTCTATCAATCATTCATATTACAATTGAGAAAGAGAGAAATAAGAGGGATATTTTGTTTACTAATATTGTCACAACATGGCATTTTGGAGACCTTTTGAAACGGAACAAAACGAAATTTACCACCAATATAATAAAATTGTTTGAGGACATAAATAATTAAAATATGTTGTTGGCCAAATGAACATATAATAACAATTTTCTACACATTATATATAAATTATTATAATTTTATACTTTTAGCAGAAAACTTTTTTAGGGACGCCTATAAAACTCATTAAATTTTATTGCTAGGCGTTTTTTGCATGTTCAACTGACTTCGGAAAGACTATACAAGCTTAAGTAATATTTGAGTAATAAATAGGTACTCCAGTGGTGTTGGGGTATTAAAACTATAACTTCCGTTATCTTGTGATGTGCACATGCGCTATCTTCCTTCCTCACCCCAGTCTCTCTATTATTTCACTAATATTGGAACAACACGGGCCACTGAGCCAGCTACCTACGAGAAACTGATGAACTGGGTTAGCAAAATGAGCCGTATTTCTATACTGCAAAGTATCATTGAGAAAACTGGAAGATTAGCGGCAATAAAAGAGCATGTCCTACACTTGAAAACATCGGGTCCCTCTGAGAATGAGTTAGAGGAAGTCGCAATAGAGAGAAACTCCAATCAGTGCCCAGTTCACGATGAATCTGGTGCGCAGTAATCCAAGTCCTCTTATATTAGTGAGAGCAACTGTGATAAGGGCCAATAGAGAGGATGGCATATGATTTTGATTTTCAACTGCTAGTAAATATAAAAAAAATAAAAACAGTTGAAAATAAAAAAAACGAAGTACCTACTTAAATAGAAAAAGTGTTATACTTAATAAAGTAAAATTTCTTTCGAGTTGCATCAAAACATGGGAATGTTTTTAGGATATATTTACATATACAATGGTAATACTTAGTGAATTACTGCAAACATAAATATCTGAATTAAAAAATTAAATGCCTTTTTTTTATTACTAAAATGAATGTAATGTGCTGTTTTTTATGTTTAATAAGGATCATTAATAAACTGTCATAGGCATCGCATTTCTACAAAAACTTACTTTCCTTCTATTTTAGTAATACTCGAGGTAATACTGAGTGAATTGTACTGCAAAGATAAATATTTGAATTTAAAAATTAAATGCCTTTTTTATTACTAAAGTGAAAGGAATGTGTTTTTTATGTTTTAATAAGAACTATTTTGTTTTACTAAAGATTGAAACATTTTTTTTTCAAAGTTTAGGTATCCCCGTACTTATGAAAATGAAAGTCTTAGAACATGAAAATTAATTAATGTATTAGTTTTACTCGTAAAAAATATTAACAAAATATTAATAATAAATGACTAAGTATACATTTAATAATTTCTTATAACTACCTATTTAACCAGATATTAGGCACTATTACATTAGGTACCTACTAACCGAGCTAAAAATTCAAAAAACTTAATACTTAATAAAATAAAATGTCCTACCTAATTACGACACTAGTATTTTGTTATTTTAACTAAAAATTAGTTGTAACATTAAAAACACAATTGTTATAAACAATACTTGCTTAGCTGTTAAAGTTGTTGTTTGTGTGTTTGTGAAATTGTGGCTCCAGTCCAACGATACAGTGTAGGAAAGTACCGATGGTCTATCAGAAGCTACGTGAGAGCGATAAAGTAAGCCATAGAAATCCATGTGATAGACAAGGATGGCTATAATGAAGGCGTCTAATAGTCAACGCCCATTTCGCCCTACCACAAATAAGAAGTGGATCTTATTTTTTAAACCAATCCGATGATTTCCATTTGGGGTTCGGTGTTAGAAACAATCCGTCAACTTTAATTGAATTATCACGTTTTTCAATTAATTTATGGAACAGTCTAACTGGACAAACTCCAGGATTTTGTGTATTTTCAATTAGCGACTTGCTATCAGATATATGCGGTCTTTGTAAAGATGGGGTTATACTCCACCCCTCCAAGCTAATGGAAACCACTTGGTGTATCCTCATCCCATATTTTTAATATTTGTTTATAATCTTCGCACTTCTCTTTCTTTTTCTGGGTCCTTTTGTAGCTGTCTTCTCTTTGCGTCGTAAGCTGCCCCTCTAAATTCCACATCATTAAAAGGATCAAATTTAATATCTGATACTTTTAAAAAAAAAGTTTGAAGTTGTTTTGCGGTAGAGTTCCACATAACCTAAAAAAAAACAAGAACATAATTTTAGCTTTTTTTGTCAAATAATCTAAAAGTACGTAATTTACCTTAACGACAGAT